CCCCCCCCCCTTCTCTCACTCCCTGTAAACGTTTTGTCGTTAGGGGGGGAAGACGTCGCTAAGCTTGATCAGGTGGATCAGCGCACTGGTTTCTGGGCAATTGCGAGTGCCGTTAAAGAATTCTACGATAGGCACGGTCAATTGCCTCTTCCGGGTCGCATTCCGGATATGAAAGCCAAATCCGACGTATACGTTCAGCTACAGAACTTATACAAAGCGAAAGCACGAGCAGACACCGTCGAGATCCTGGATAGCGCCAAGTCTATCTGTCCCAGCGCCACAGTCACGATGAAAGAGGTTGAGTTATTCTGCAGAAATGCGGCATTCATCAGACTCATCAACAGCCGAAGTCGAGGCTCGGACCAAACACAACTGATTGCAGGTACGTCTCGCACCGTTCGCTCAGATCGGCTCCGACGGAGTAGGTTACTCACAACATCTTCTACCGACAAATAGACCAAGAGTTTGCCAATGATGAGATCGCCAAGCAGGCTGGGATGGGTACTAGTTTGTTTCCCATATACCTCGCCCTTCGCGCCATGCCAAACAGTCATGTTGCAGGCGAGGATGACATACTGGCGAATATCGAAAAATCTGTACCCTCGGCAAGTAGCCACGAGTCCATTCGACTCGCTGCTCGAGAGGTCTCCCGGGCTAGTGGCGAGCTCCATAACATCGCTGCAATCACCGGCGGCATGGCAGCCCAAGAGATTATCAAGATCATCACGAAGCAGTATGTTCCTGTCGACAATACATGTGTATTCGACGGCATCGGCAGTCGGTGTCAGATATTTTACCTTTGAAGGCGCAACTGCTTCTTCCCTGAAAAAATTCAAGCGCGTGATAATTAATCGCCTAGGCCGTTAGATAGAGCCTGTACCTCGAATCACATTCTAAAATAGAATCTGATGTTTTCATTTCCATAACCATCCTTGCCATGATAGTGTTACTACTACCTTTGTACCAACATCGGAGACATTTGTTCGGGGAGTACATATATTTCGAAGTTTGAATCTTCTCCAAACTTCAGCGGTTACGTCAATGTTTGCCATGCACATCTCCGATGTGCGAAGTATCTGATGAGTTTAATAAACTAGTCATTGGTATTGCCACTAAAAACCGAGACGCTCACTTGGTCACAATTCAAGGTGGTGGCAGGGCCGCATTTCCGGGTGTGGGGTCAAGTATTACTACCCTTGTGCTCTGTGGGAGCGGAGCGAATGTACCACCTGGACTGGTCACCAAGACTCTCATGTTCAGCAAGCTCTTCCCTTCTCTGGGCAAAGTACGAAGTACAACTATTAACAACTATTACTAGTATGTACTTCGTACCTTCGTACAGTATCGGAGGTGTGCGTCTTTGGAGAATACACCAAAATCAAACACTCATCCCAAATGAGCGATGCGAAGTATCCCAGTGCAACGTCGGTACATGTTCCGACGGCACGACGGCGGGTGCAGTGTGTCTGACTCTAGTACCTCAGTACCCAGTAGTGGACGACAAAGTTGATTCGACCAGTAAAAGTGAGGAATTGATATCATAACCTCCCGACTTAATCGGTTATTGTGACCTTGAGGAGAATCTAAGTACGAGGTAATAGTAGTGAATGTGATGGAGTGATATTTGGCCTCCAACATGCTGAATGAAGGACAGCGCGATCGCAGAAAGTGCTAAAATCAGCTTGGCCACCAAGAAAGACGAGTCTAGGGCTGTTAAGAATGATGCACTAGCTGCGAACCGCTGACCTTGACTCGTCCTTGGATCTACTAGACTCCTGTGATAAACGAGAGAGGGAAGGGGGGAAGGGGCTCGGGAGTTCATTTAGTCGTTGATTCGGTTTCCGTCTAGGCTGTTTGGGATATAATCTATATTAGTAGTTGCTCGTCTTCCAAGGGGATGAAGTATTAACACACCACCACCTCTTCTAGCCGAAGGTTTTTCCGTTCGGTGTAAATCCGACCTGCTGCGTGATCATACGAAGTAGTCATCTGAACTTCAGAATTGATCAATATATTGTAGTTTATGAAAATTCAAGGCCGGCTCGCCCTGGTCATCCGAGTATTGCAATATGCGGGAAGCATCAGCATCAATGGGCTATCATCAATTGTGACTTTCCCCTCTCCGATGCCAATACCATCCCCAAACCCTGCGCTGGATGAGGCATGCGGTGTATTATATTTGTAAAACAAGAAATGTTTGGATTTCGTGTTATTTAAAGCTCACTTCCGAGGGGTGACGGTGACGTGGCGCATGCTGGTGTGGGATCGTTCTCGTCACCAGAACCCTACTGTACCTTGCAGATTGTGAATCAGTTAGCCCCGCTCGCGTGGCGGGCAGGCTTCTGAAGGAGGGGTGCGAGCTTTGAGCAGAGTAGGATTGGTTTGCTCCATGGCTGATGCTATGCTCGAGATATTAGGTTGAAAAAAAATCAACTTGATAATCCACAGAGGGCTTTCGTGGAAGCTCCTTTCTTCTCCTCTCCCTTCGGAGGATACTTGACTCTTATAACATTTAAAGATATCTGACGAATCTCTGGGGACCAAATTTAATATGGTCCAATGTTGCCATGACCACAGGCTGGTGGTATGAGCGTGTGCAGTGGTTTGTACAATAGATGATAAGTGCAAGAGAGAACTCTCACGAGAGGCGCGTTGGAGCTCCTGGCGGCTCCCGAGAATCGCCACACCTTGCTTCACCTTGCCAAGAATGTAGTTTATCAGTGCCTCGCGGGGTTTCATCGGCTTGGACGGGCTTCTCTCCCCACGCGATTGATGAAATTTGTCTACGGTTCCATGAAATCGGTTATGACTGTGGCACTATTTGATTCGCCTTAGCAATGACACCTAAGACGCCACGATTCTTCTATTCAAGCGGAATCTTTGGGCAAGGCTTGGTTACAGCCGCCGGCGTTTTTTCGATTGATTGACAGACTGACAGACTGATTAATTGATTGATTGATTGATTGACTAGGGGGTCGTGAGTTTTTTTCTCCCTTCAATTTTAGTACAAGACAGGACAGTGCAATTGTGTTTCGAGTCCTATCGAATGCCGAAGTCCAAGCAGGCGGCGAGCATCATGGGTTGATGGAATGGTTCTGTGAGCCCCTGGACGAGAGGTGGCTAAGTGGGTAGAGTTCCATCTGGGGTGATCAAATGTCAAAGTGGTTCCAAGTTCTACCATGCTCTGGGACGGCATTACCAGCATTCTGTCAATATGGGATAAATTAACCTGGTGCACAGTGTGTTCGCTGTTCAGTTCTCAAGCCTGCTACATGATGATTTACCAGAAATTTGCATCATGCCTCGCTTTACAGAATTGATTGGCTGAGTTCGGAGTAGAGTGAATGAATCAGATCAGTTACGAAGTATTATGGGCGACCACGCATGTGAGCACACCAAGAAGGATCTATTGATCAATCGATGTCGGGGATGGCTTTGTTGATAATAGTTGGTCTAACACGCTTACTCCAACTACTCGTACATTCATTCATTCATTCCTACTCGTTTGGATGCCCATCATCGACCCTCGGCACTTGGGGCATCTTGATTAATTGGCCAGGCCAAACCGATTTCCGACCCCGTCAGGACACTTCTGAGGAGGGAGTAACGTACGCAGCAGATGGGTCTACTTCGTTGTCAGAAGCAATTGATCGATGCAGACTTGCTTCCTATGGAGGAGAGCTGATCAATTGGTTTGGCGAGTACCTCCCAAGAATCGCGCCAGTGGGGAAGGGACATGAGTGAGCAGGCACACCCACACCATACCGCGGGACAGCAAGAAATACACTACACAGGTACACTGCGAATGAAGTGACTTGGGCTACTGAGGAGCGAGGCATGGGTCGATCATCCGTGAAGGATCAATCTAAGACGCTTTATAACTTTGTAATCTATCCTCTTATGGCGCATATGACGCTGTTAAGTATTTGGCCTGCAACCTGCCATCGAATGCGACCACACGACTGCCAATCAACCTATAATTCTCCACATTATTCCATGTCCGAGCCGGACCTTGTCCCGCAACCCGACGACGTTGAACGATGTACTCCATAGCAATGCAATGAATGCATGGATCCCCAAAGTCTGCCCTGCCGCTTTCTGAACCGTCGGGTCACAACTCCCGTCGTGGTGTATTAACCAACCCGAAGATGCCTACCGAGTACAGAGAGATCTATATATATAAGCGCGTGTCCATTCAATTGTTGCCCCCATGTTGGAGTTCAGCAATCCAATCTGGTCCCTCAACTAGCCACCCTCAATCATCCTTGCGAATACGTGGGCCGTGACATTTTCCGAGTCTTGCTGCTGATCGCGCCAATTCGATCTGTCCCGTTCCTTTGCCACACGCGCACCTCGTCGTTCGTGCTGAGTACATGGATGATGGCGCCTTCGATGCTTAACCCCGCACAAGGCGGAGGCATGTTCCACACATGTAAGCCAATTGGGTCTGTGTTGGTCAAGTTGTGCCACGGCGTGGCGAGGGGAACCAGTAACTAACGCGAGAGTCGTCGCACAGTCCAGGGCGTAACGCCACGCAAGCCATCCTTAGACTCGCAAGATGGAGGCAAGCCGAGTGGCGCGACAGGTTCCAAGAGGATCACTACCCCACACGCCTGTGCCGAATGCAAGAGACGGAAGATGTGAATCATCCCCGGCCCACGTTGTGTTCTGACGTCATGGTGATGCTCGGTGATGCTAAGACCTTACTTTGTAGACGTTGTGATGGACAACAACCCTGCGGGCAGTGCCTCTCGAGTCGCGCTCCGAAACGCTGCTTCTATGACAAGCATCGCCAGAGGGTAATACCTTCGAGAAAGTCAGTGCTGCCCTCACGTTCCTCGAAACTTAATATTGCAATGACGCGAGTTGTAAATTGTTGACACATGCATCAGGACCCTCGAGGCCCTCTCCCAGTCCCTAGAAGAGTGTCGATCCATTCTAAAGCGCCTTTTCCCTGGACACGAAGCGCACGCACTGCTTCCTCTCTCCAAACAAGAACTTCTCGCCCTTCTCGACCGCCCCGCTGCCCATCCAACCGCGACGGCCCTTCCATCGCCTCCTCTGAACACATCGGCACTTTCTGATCTAGAGTCGCCCGGAATTTCAAGCCTAGAGCAGATACCGTCCAGAGATACTGAATGGGATGAGGAGAGGCGGGGAAGGGATCCGATTCCTGTCGAGGCCGACGATGTCAACGCACTCTCACTATCGGTAGACCGCCAGTCATCCTACCTTGGCGCCTCCTCCATCAAGGCGGCGTTGATGGTAATGCTTAGGGTCCAGCCGGGTCTCAGGACGGCGCTCACAACACCACTCAACAATGTCGAAATAGCGAACAATTATCCCGTAATTCGACAGAAGACCAATGCTCCAAAGGATAGTCAGCGAGTGCCATGGTCATGGAAAGGGCAGACGTTGATCGATGCCTACTTCAAGCGCATCCACGTCTTCGTTCCGATGCTTGACGAAGCAGCTTTCCGCGCAGACTACCTCGAAGGCCAACGGTTCGACGCTCCTTGGCTTGCGCTCCTCAACATGGTGTTTGCGATGGGGAGCATCGTTGCCATGAAATCAAATGACTTCACTCACATCAATTACTACAACCGCGCAATGGAGCACCTTCCAATGGATGCTTTCGGTAGCAGCCATCTGGAAACCGTCCAGGCCCTAGCTCTTATCGGGGGCTACTATCTGCATTACATCAACCGACCAAACATGGCCAACGCAGTGCTTGGAGCCACGATCCGGATGGCGAGTGCTCTCGGTCTCCATAGAGAGAGCCTGGCACAGGGAACTAGCGACCTGGCGGCAGCCGAGTCGAGAAGGAGAACGTGGTGGAGTCTCTTCTGCCTTGACACGTGGGCGACCACCACGATGGGACGACCGTCGTTCGGTAGATTTGGGCCAGCCATCAACATCCAGCCGCCAGAATTTGGCATTAGCCAAGTGAGTCCCGATATCTTCCTAACTCCACCTCTAGATACCACCCTTCACACTTCAATCGTAGTCTGCGTAATACAGGCGAGTTGGAAAGCTAACAGGCCGCCTATTCCAGCAGCGGGATTCCGCCCAGCACGCTGGGATCTTGCCCTTGATTGAGAACATCAAATTCTGCAAGATCGCGACCCAAATACAGGATCTGCTGGCCATTTCTCCACTATTACCCACGGACGATCGGTGCAATTTGGATAATCAGCTCATCAACTGGTACAACGGCCTACCGTGGCTGCTTCGGACAACCGATCCTTGCGCCGAACCGCTGTATATAGCGAGATGCATCATGAAATGGAGGTACCAGAATCTTCGGATGCTTCTTCATAGGCCCGTCCTCCTTACGCTGGCCAGCAATGGACTCTCGCTTCACGTCTGCGAGCAAGATATTGCCGCCATTGAAACATGCCGGGACCTTTCGTGCCAGACAGTTGAAGATATCGCGCGAGAGTGGACGAGAAACCAGATGTCGGGTTGGAACGCTGTTTGGTTCCTTTACCAGGCTGCCATGATTCCTTTGGTCAGCATATTCTGGCAATCCAACAGCCCTCGCGTCCCCGAGTGGCAGAGGCAGATAGAAACAATCCTTGAACTTCTCGACGCCATGGAAGACTGGTCTCTGGCAGCCCGTCGTAGTAGGGAGGTGGTCTGGCGTATGTACGAAGCATCCCGTCAGCCTGCACTTATAAAGAACGAAGGCGCTCTCCTCACTGAAGGCGCCGAACGCGGCCCTCTGGCAACGGATACGGATCTTCACATGTCGCCGATCGGAATAGAGCCAGACGGTATGGGTATGGTGAACATACTGGACCAACAGGGCTTGTGGGATATGGATGCTGTGTACTGGGGCCAGCATGGCGAGCGATCCGACTTCGCACCCTACGCGATGCACGATGGGGGCATAGCCTTGGATTATGACCTGATGATAAATCCTGGGCAGCCCTTAGACACTAGTTATTTCATTCCTTGAAAAGGGACTTCTCGAGCTCAGTCTTGTCCGAATTCCCTTCCTGCCCCGCGTCTCCACACGTAGCCCAGCCTTACCAAGAATCAGTTCTTTGTCAGCTCCCCATCTTATTAGACGAATCCAAAAGCTGCTTCAGAATCCAAAAAAAAGTTGGCGGTTTGAAATAGGGGAAGGCGTGAGCGGCAGTCTTGGGGGGCTTGCCATCGTTCCGTGCTTCACCCCGCAGTTCGACCCATGCTGTCCAGTTGTGGGTGATTTCGAACTCAGACTCCTCCGTGTCGGTCCCAGGAGTTGCAAGAACACTTCTCAATCTTGGCATCTTCTGAATGAACACTCCCAGTCCCAATGACAGACTTCTCGTCCTGGTTGAGGCTTGACTACTGGGCAGTATTGCCGTTTTGTGACCTGGGCTGAGGCAATTAGTGTAGTGATGCCCGTAGAATAATACTCGAAGGCATGTTAGATTTTTACTTTATGAACACTTTCTTGCCTAGTTTATACGCAGTAAATAGTCCATCGGGCATGTGGGTCATAAAGACATGTCGAATTGCATTAGAAGACGGTAAAAAGAGCACTAGCCAGGCCGATCAACCATACCAACTTATTAAGCTGAGACTCGGTTATCTTTTTATCTTAGATACCTCTTCGACGAAGATCCTAGTGTTTGTGGGCGGTTCTTAGGTTGTTTTAAGTCCATCACCATACAAGTAGCCTTCGCAGGCAAATGCCTACCTCGAATATATAAACTCTACGTCCAATGTCGTGCGCTAATCTACCCCCATTTAACGATATAGATAACATGAGGAGGTGCGATTTAATAAAGAGAACGTATTCTCTAGATCAGTGAAGCGCCTAAATAAACAAGGTCGACTTCTCACGCCTTTTCATCTCCCCACCTACCCGCCACACTTATAACTTCGCTCGCACAACCCTACCCTCTTTCCCCGTCTCCTACCGTCTAATGCGAGTCTCGCAGGCCCGCGATTATTATCTTGCCATACTTCCGGGGTTTCAATCATAGAGATCGTCCTACAGAGGGCTGCATCTCCTACAAGCTGAGTTTCTACGAACGTCAAAGTTGCCCGGATTTCCTATGTTATTAAACTCGGCCGATAGTAGTAGAAGAGTCTAATTTCTCAGCCCCCTCTGCTGGAGAGAGCACACTTATAAAGTAACCCACAGTCGAAGCAGGACCACCCATACGGTTATTATGAGAGAATCGATGCTGAGCCACGGCATATTACCGGTATTAGCTCTCTTGACAGGAAGTGCGTGCGCCTAGATCCGAATGAATATTTTCGGGGGCTGGGAGAGAACGATCAACGCGTATAAACGATAAACTATATACACATAGGAAGAGAGAAGCAGGACTACAGAACCGACGAAAGTAGAAAAATCAATTGAAGAAAAACTGCAAAAGCGGAAGCAGTAGTATTCAAAATATTTAAATCAGAACCTATAGAAGCAGAACGGGAAAAAAAAAGGCACCAAGAAACAAAACAGACGACATTAAAAATATTCAAATCAGAATCAGCCAAAGCGGAGATAAACACAGAAGCTGGGGATATAAGTAAATAAAAGCAATCGCGCGAGGGGAGAAAAGGAAAAAAATAAAAAGAGAGAGAGAATATATGTGTATATTACGCGAAAAGAACTGCCAGCTGATTCTCAGCTGGCAGAACTGACTAAGCACAAGTGAGAACTAGCAATACTAGTTCTATTAAGAATAGAACCCTATATAAGAGAATTATAAAAAAACTCCTCCTATATAGAAGAGAAATAGTTAATTAATCACTTCTTATACTCTTAATATTAGACTATATATTAGTATTTTTTATAGCTAATAAAACTACTATTATAACTTCTAATAATAATAATTCTTCTATTATTATACCTTTTAGGGTAAGTTTTTAATATAAAATAGAAATATATTATTCTAAGTTCTAATTAACTAAGAGCCGACTTATAGTATTCCTTTTATATAGGAAATTACCTTATATTAGCACTACATACTAGCAGCAGGCCGGTCCTGCCAGCTGGCTATAGGTATAGGCTATATAAGCTAGAAACTTTAATATCTATAGAGACTTCTATTATAATAATAATAATAAAATTCTATCTAAAAATTTAAAAGTAATTATATTATATTAACTTACTTAAGCTAAAGTAAAAACTTTTATAAAAAAGATATAGAAATAAGTTATATTATTATATTTAAATAAAAATAATTTACTAAAAGAAAAAAAAAACTATTTTTTTATTAAAAATAAAACTAGCTTAAAATTAAAAAACTAGCTTAAAATTAAAAAACTAGTCTAAAAAGCTAAAAATAAGTTTTTAGACTTTTAAAATCTAAAAAGCTAAAAATAAGTTTTTAAACTTTTAAAATTTAAAAAGCTAAAAATAAATTTTTAGACTTTTAAAATTTAAAAACTAAAAATAAATTTCCGGGTTTCTAGAATTAAAAAACAAGTTTTAAAAATAAAAAAATAATTTTTAGAATTTTAAAAAACTAAAATTAAGAAAGTAGAAGATATATAAAAAGTAATTAAATTATTTTTTAATCTGAAAAAAGAAAAAAAATAATTATATATAAACCTAGATTCCTCCTTTTTTTTCTAAAAAATAAAAAAATAAAAAAATTAAAACTTTTTTATATATAATTTTAATATAATAATTATTTTATATAATTATTTTTACTTTTAACTTTTTTATTTTCTTAAAATTTTAATAATTTTATAACTATTATTTTTTTTTAATTTTTAAAACTTTTTATAATTTTAATAAATTATAATTTTATTTTATTCTACTTTCTATAAAAGAGCTATATTCTATAAAAGTAAAGAGCTAGCTTAGTACTAACTAAAGACATTCCCCCCTCCCTAAAAGTAGTAGCTACTAGTATAATAGTAGCTTTACTACTTAGCAGCTCTACTACTTAGTAGCTATAGCTACTAGCAACTAAAACTAGCTTCTACTTTAATTATCTAGGAATAATACTACTTATAAGTAAATAGTACCTACTATATATAAGTATAGGTTCTTATAAGCTTTATTATAGTAAATAAAAAAAGTTTACTTATTATTTCTTTCATTTAATTTCTTTTTTTTTCTCTTATTAAATAATTTTATTATTTCTTTTATTTATAAAAATATATTAGTAAAAATACTTTATACTTTATAATATATTATTTAACTATATATTATTAAATATTAAATATAATAAAAAAGTAGCTTTATATTAAGCTACTATTATAATTACTAATATTAAATTCCTAGATCTAGTAAGTAAACTATATTCTCCTTAAAAATAGTAAATTTATATTATAGCTTTTAGCACGCTGCCTAGCTGTTAGATGTAAGTAATAGCTTGTGACTATAGAAGTAAGAGAGTATAGCTTACTCACTTCGAAGGTAATATCTATTAACAGATTACTTACAGAGCTAGTAATTACTTATATACTAAATATATTATTATTAGTAGGATTATATACTAGATTCTTTAGTTAAGTAAGTAAGCTATTAAGAGAATAAGATTATTATCCTTTTTTTTAGTAAGTAAATATAAGAATACTTATTTTTATATATTATAATATAAAGTTACTATCTAGCTTATAATTATATACTACCTAAGGTAATATAATAGTAATACCTAATAATACTATACCTTATATATAAGATAGCTAATATCTTTATTAGCTTACTTACTTATCTTTTATAAAAATATATATATAATTAAAAGTAAAGTAGCTATTACTTATATTTCTATCTCTTTATTAATTACCCTCTACCCTAGTCCTAAATACTTATTTATCTATACCCTAGCTATCTTTATCCCTTAATTATTAAAAAGCTATTTCTATATAGCCTACCTTATAGCTAGACTTAAGCTCTTAAGAATAGTATACTACCTCTTAATAAAAGTCCTTAATACTAAGCTAGCTAGTTATAGGATAGTAGATATCACTTACTCTATAATATATATATTATTAATTAATTATAATTTAGACTATAAGGCTTATTACTTTAATTTAAGTTTAATAATCTACTATTCTAATTACTTAAAGTATATATTAAAGTAATCTCTAAGGCTAGTAACCTTTTATTAGCTAGTAACTACTTCCTAGCCTTAATTAACTTAATATATTTATTAATCTTTTAAAATATCTTAGCTAGTAGTTTATTATTAGTTAATAAGTATTCCCTAATTTTAATTAACTTAATATATTTATTAATCTTTTAAAGTATTTTAGCTAATAGCTTACTATTATTATTATATTTACTATTATTATTATACTTACTATTATTATTATAATTATTATTATAATTCTACTTACTATTATTATCTTATTTACTATTACTATTATACTTACTATTATTATTATAGTTATCATTACCTATATTATTAATAACTTACTTATAGCCTATTTTAATTATATTTATATCTTTATTAATATCTATAGTAATATTAATATTATTATTATTAGCTTACTTAATAGCCTTATCTTTAACTTTACTAGGAAAGTAAGTTAAATACTTTACTTCTAACTTCTTAATCTTATTATTTATAAAGTTAATTAGCTTATATATAATATATATAATATATAAAATAAAGATAATTTTCTTAGCTAGTAAGATATTATACTAATTAGCTTTCTTATTACTTTTTTAAGTAATTATTTTATCTAATACTTAATTAACTTTTTAATATATAATATAGCCTACTTAGCTAATAGTAGCTATCTATTCTTTATAGATATTATTAACTACTTTAAGTACTACCTTATATTTAGCTTTATAGCCTTTATTATTATAAACTTAATAAATATATATTATTATATTAGCTTTACTAATATATTCCTTCCTAGCTTAATAATATTAGCTTAATATCTTCTTAACTATTATTAGCTAAATTACTATCTAGTTTACTTATAATATTAATAATAGTTTAGATTATAATTACTTAACTTAAGTTACTTTAGGTATATATATTATTATATTTA